GTCAGGGTTTTATCCGCCCAGACGGCATTCCTTGAAACGAGATCCCCTAACATATGTTTTCCTGACCATAATCGTGTTAGGAATCTTCATCCTTCCACTGTAACATGTCCAGAGTCCTGGAGGCTGCCGCGCGCGCTGCCACCTCGTTCCGATGAGGTCACCCCTATGGCGCGTCCTAACCCACTCTGACCAAGCTATGTGGGTGAAATTCTACCTCTACTCCAAGAATTCCAATAATCATGGTATCGAATCTGCAAAATCGAAAATTAGACAAAAAATTGAATTGAAAATTTTTTTAAATCAAAATAAAAATTAAATTTAAAGCTTTTTACAGTTACGATATCCTAATGGAAGTTATCCAAAAATTATATCATGGACATGCCATATCTACGTAGAAGAATGCTGCGATAAAACATGCTGCCCTAAAAACATTATATTTGGCATTTCCGTTGCAGAAATCATGTATGCTCTTTGGCAATACGTTTTTGTAAGCAGAACTCTCGAAAACTCCAATTTCTTCCTTTTAAGGTATATTCCTATTACACAGGTCTTCTACTTCCTAATCTTTATACTTGGTTCTCTTTTACTGGCTTATGTTTGCTGTTGTACTTTTGTATTTTTAATATGCCTATTTTGCTGCAAAATAAGTACGTATCTCAAACAAAACCTTTTTTAATTTTATTTTAATTTTTATTGCTTTTCAGAAGATACATGCAGTGAAAAAACAGAGAAAGATTATGAATTAGAAGAAAAAGAAGTAGACGAAGAAGACATGTCAGACGACTATCAAAAAAATGACCAAAAAGATCAGTTACAACCCCTACAACAATGAAAATCGAGTTTCCAGCACAAAAAAAAAATAAAGAATGACGATTCTGACGTTAATCAAAATCGCTTCAGATTACGCCATGGTCTCGGTCACTACTCAGAATCGCAGAGGCGTTTGAATGAGTCTACATTTATAAATCTCACTTATGCCGTTCTTGGCGAGAGAGCATTCACCTACTCTGGTGCTTTTCATCTCTTAAAACTTGAGCAAGAAACTAAATTCCCTGGCCCCAACTACATCTTCACCTAACCCTAAACCCAACCATGGGGAACGGGCAGCAGGATCGGTTTCGTGTAATCGATTCGCCGCACGCGGCTGTCGCGGACCATTTGCCTCGCCGTTTTTACAGCTCTGGCGTTCTTCATACAGCTCAATCGATATGCACTAATTATTTGAGGCACGATCCTACTGTTAGCTCTTTTGTTCCTGTATTTCTTACCTGCTGCTGCATTCTGCTACATTCCTTCGCGCGCGGCGTCCCTCTCGCCGCGACGCGACAATCCGATCCTACTGCACCACACCCCCAACCTCCAGTGTATGACATGACTCGTAGCCTTGGACCCTAGCATAAATAATTTAAGAACCGATACAGTGTAGAAAATGGTCATTGCTGCTTCCTGTGTTCCTGACCGCACTCCTTCCGGACAACTCGGCCACTGGCCTGATGGTGAGAAAGCGCCCCATATTGGTTCGTCCCTATTCGTCTTTTAACAGACGTTCAATTATCAGCTCGTCGAGCTGTTCAAAAATTGATCGAGTCGAATAGATAGGTAAATTGGAGGTATTTATTAGATTAATTTAATGAGGATAACATTGGTTCCAATTTCTGGTACTAGGCATCCACCGCACATCGCCACTTACGCCATCGATGTGGCTTTCACAGAAATTCCTGTTGCGACACGTACACTCCACAGGTTATACTTACCCGCATAACATGGAGTAATGCTCAGAGCCTATCCGGGATCAGGAAATTCAGAGTTACGAGATCCGTCATCAAACGAAGATCGGATGCCTTTGCACACGCCAAGAAGTCAAAGATCAGGTAGACTGGGCAAGTTATGCGATATTGCGATGTCCGTTGGACCAGAGCCGCTTACTAACTGGAACCCTTGGGACGTCAAGCGAACAACCAGAACGAACGCCGGCCTGATGGTCAGACTTCTTCAGCCGACGACAAGAAGGGTGGCATCGAACTGTGCGGAGTTCGATGCCTTCCTGCTTTGTTCTACATCTGATGCTTTACGTCCTACGTTTTATATTTGTAACTTTTGACTGAATTACAGTTGCTGATGTGTTGTAAAATTTTTAATAGCCTATTCTGCTGCGAAATAATTATGTATCTCATGAAAAATCTATTTTTTCGATTTTATCACATT